CCCCTCGAAACATAGGAAAATCCACGAACCCCTAATTTTATCTGTCAAACTTTCATAGCGTATCAAAACAAACACTAGAATTACATCTACGGTGGTGAGTGCTGCATGGAACACCTAATATTATCAAATTATCCAGTTGACTTTGTAATCGTTGAGTTACTTTGTCCATGATTTTAATATGTGTATGTTGCTTAGAAACTGTAGTTTATTTTAGACTGTGTTTGGTTAGTAGTATTAGTATAATTGCTAGTTAAGTTATTGTAAGTAAGTAAAAATGTGAAAGGAACCCAGCTTTTTGTTAGTTGGACTAGTCAGAAATTGATGAAAATTTATAAACTAAATTGGGCCAATTGCGGTTGGAAAATTGAGAATTTCGGCTAGAATGGGGTACGCTCATAGATTTACTTGGGACCAATAGGCTAGTCAAGGTTGGTATAGATAAGGAACCGGCATGGAACAGATTTGGTTTGGTTACCTTATACTGGTGAAAGTTCCGTGTTGCAGCAGTGATTTTAGGCCGCATACATCAATTTATTTTTATCGCCCTTCGTTTTATTGCACAATCACAAAAGTCATTCAATCTTCAGGGTTGCCAAACTTATGGGATGCTTGATTGATACACTTCGGCACAGCGTTTCGTATAGTTTTCAGCACAGCGAAAACTATCGGCACAGATTGAGGTGTGCAGAGTTGATTCCCACTTAGATGATCGACTTTTCATGAAAGACCCGACATCTTGAAATCACTATTTTGAAATTCATCTGCCTTCTTGGATCCACCATTATTTTAATTAGATGTCATTTGGAATCCACCATTTTGGAATTCATCGTCTAACTTGAAATAGTAATTGTTATATCAATATTGAAATAATTATAACTATACTATAATCACAAACAAACAGACGTAACTCTTTGAATAAGTTTTTCTTGAAAACATTGTACCTCAATAAATAGGACATCAGTAACGACATCTCTCGGGCTTCTCGCGGAAAATAAGCTTGCTCGCTATGTCGCTAACAATGTTGCATGCCAGGTAAACCCTAATAAACGGGTACCATACACAAACGATATCTTAGATGGTATAACAATACCACATAAAGTTGGGATGATATCCCGAATTGGTGGTTAGGCGCTTCTTATGGTTATTGTTTATGCGGGAACATATAATATATAGAAACGTCAAAGTGTTCCGATGCCAGCGCTGCGGTAAGAAGTTCGCGCAAATGATAATATTCAAATCAATCGTTAAATGCGTGAACGATGATCCAGAATTAAGAGTTACGTCTGTTTTGTTAAAAGCGGTCAGACGGACCACTTCGCTAGGCCCTCGATCCCTGGTCTTGCGGGGATCACTGAGGGTGGGTTCTTCAACAATCTCTTTTGTCGTGGCTTTAGCTCGAGCATGAAAGAAGATCCTTCAGGGTCGGCTGTAGGTATATACAGAATGTTCGATCAAGGAATTGAAAGCACTTTCTCCCTTTTTAATTAGTTCTTTTATTTCGACTTACTGTGTGTGTGTGTATGTGGGTAGTGTCTCACGATGTGGCCGGATGCAAGCTCGAAATGCGGGAATGTCGCCTTTGCCGTGACGCTCGGGGTAATGCCTACGCCGAATCCAAGAGGGACGGATCGTACGCCGGATTGGCGGATCACACTCCTTCAGACGTCGGCGCTAGAAGTCCAATCGCACGCCGGAATGGCTGATAACTTGCTGGACAATTCAAGCGGTTAATAATGGGTCCTGAGGAAAGAACGTCCCAGGGTGGCTACCGGGTATTTTTTTTACTTTATTCTGTTTTGATTTCAAATCAACTTCTCTATCTTTATCTTTATCTCTGCTTTTTTATGGAGGATAGCAAACTTAACGCTTCGAAGCTCTGGATAAGAAAGTCGCTTATCACGTTATTACCCGGTAGCTTGACCCTCCTTTTTCCATACCCTTTGTTCATGTTCCCTTTTTGACGTGTCCAGTGCCGGTACCTGTGGCAACTCTTGTTTTCCCTTTTTTGGCTCACTTCATACTATTGTGTAGTGTGTTTTGTGGTGTGAAGTGTGTTAACAAATTATGTTCTTATTATTAGCTACTCCGGAGTATTTGTCAATTTTTAGCATTAACATTTACTAACAAACAAACATTTAATTAATATGTTACAAAATCTAGGTTAAGTAATCTCAACAGTAACAGTTTGTCTGTGCTATAATATTGGAAGATCGACTATTTTCTCAAAGATCCACCATCGTTAATCTAAAATTTTGAAAATCATCCAACATTTTGGAATTGAAATTCCCAATTTCAATAGTGGAGTTATTATAAGCATACTACAGTATTATATTTAGAAAGATTGAACATTTTTAAAAGACTTTCCATTTTTAATCCACTATTTTGAAAATCATTCGCCATCTTGGATCCACCATTGTGAAAATAAACAAACATCCAAGAATTGAAATGGTAGAGCTTCCCTGAACTTCGGCAGGATTTCCCTGAACTTCGGCAGGATTTCCCTGAAGTTCAGCAGGACTTCTCCGACCTTCGGTAGGCCTTCCCTGAACTTCGGCAGGAGTTCCCTGAACTTGATCAGGACTTCCCTTGATTTCGAAGAATTGAAATGGCAGTACTCCCAACCGGTGGAAACTTACGATTTTAAATTGGCTCTCTACTTGACTCGTCTATTGGTCCCAAGCAAATCGATTAACGTACCTCATTCTTGTCGAAATTCTAGTACTACACTATGTTTGTTTTGATTCGCTATGAAAGTTTGACAAATAAAATTAGGGGTTCGTGGATTTTCCTATGTTTCGAGGGGTGCAACGATTAGCTTGGGACCGAAGAGAGTACCAGAGCTGTGCCAAAAAGTTGAGCACGTTTCTTCGGAACCTTCTAGTCTTAGAGTTACCTCTATGGTACTCCCCTGAACTTCGGCAGGCCTTTCCTGAACTTGGAATCTTGAAATTGAACTTGTCATTTCAGTAGTAGAATTATTATAACTATACAATAATATTATATTTACGAATATTCTCCAAATTTCAGTACTTCCCATTTTGATAATTTGCTATGCTTGTTGGTATTGGTGCATTTTGAATTTGGGTGTGGTTCGAGCGGGTGTGGAGTCAGTATCGACGGAAAAGCATTAACTTTCACCTTAGTTCGAAGTTTTTCTGGTCAATTGACAAGGTCATTTGGTATTCGATCATTGCGAGTATTATTATGTACCACTTCAATACTGTTACGCATTTTACTAAAAACCTTTGGTCGCTGGTTACATTATTAAAGAGCTTTGGGGGCGATGTGGCCGGCAGCAAGGCGAGCGAACGTTCAATGAAAATTAACTCTGATACAACAATAATTTATGGTGGTCCTGAAAAGAACCGTTTTGTCGTGATGGTTGAGTAATGCTGAGCTATTAGGGTGTTCAACACGGATGAGGCTGGTGAGTTGTTTATTGTTTGGAACGAGGGTGACGCGCTTGACATAGATGGTCTACAGCGACTGACGACGAGCAACTGAATCCGACGACGACGAGCAGCCTTTCGTTGTGTACTGGAGAACAATGTTCAACGCCACGCACCGCCAAGCACTGCTGCTACTGCTGTTGATGACGACCGACCGGACACCACCACACAGGGTGACTGAATAAGCACCGTTCGGCGAGACCGGAATAGAATTCGATTTTGAAATCTGTGTTAGGGAAAGTGCTTTTAACAGGCAATGGGTGATAATTTTGATCTCCGTTGAACATTTGTGTAATTTTCAACAGTAACCTATTGAAAACTGATAAAACGTTCATTCTAGCAGATTCGTAGAAAAATTTCCATTCGATTGGCTTGTTCGCAATTAAAATCCATACGCTATTGACAGAGTTATAAGTGGCCAAAACCTGACCACTTTTCGTAACGCGGTCGATTTTGATTTTTTTTTAAATTTCACACCCAATATGATGCCGAAAGACGTAATCCTACTTAAAAAAATGCAAAAGCCCCCCCCCCCCCTTCTAGGCACCCTCCAGATAAATTTCCAAGCTACGCCAATGCCAAAAGCTATTGAAACTGCAAATTTGTATATTGCATACCCACGGTGCTAGAGGTTTTGGCCACGCTTCCGGGATCATTTCCCCTTACTATGCAGCGCTCTATCCAGTGATTCACCACCGTATTTGAATAGTTCGCTTGGTAGATGTTCAACACCAGCAGCTTCATTGTTTTTCAGCCGACCGATGTCCTCCTCAACTTCTTGGAGATCAGGAAACGGTAGCCTGTCGTCTTCTACGCGTGCTCCTTTATCGTACCACCTTCCATGTATGCTGAATCGCTGTTTAGGTGGTCGTCATGCTCGTACTGCTTTCAAATCTCAATCACCGTTTCAGAGAAGGTTACCGTTCAATTCCTTTGATGAGTTCTATCTGTTCCAAGTTTGTCTGTATCGCTCAATGATCAAGCACTCGTGAGACTAATTCTCAAGTCGTTTTGAAAACAATATTTCTTGCTGTAAACAAACAACTGCAATAAGAAATGAGGTTGTTATTGAAATTATCACAACACTGTCACATTCTGTCATGACAAAGAAATTGATGAGATTTTAAAGAAAATCTAACTATATCATCGTCTTCTCATCCGATGATAGTGACAGGATTATTTCTGTAAAAATCGAATGAGATCTTTCATTTTCCAACCCTGAGTACAGATTCGGTGCGAATTCCATTTGAATTCTTGCGACATTCTTGGAATCCACTTCCCAGAAAGACCATACATAACAGATACCACCCACGAACTCTAAACTCACAGAACGACAATCTGAAGTTTGAGCTGTCTCTAGCATGAAGAATAAATACCGAGTCACTTATAGGGTTTCAAACATCTGATAAACATTATTTCAGTCGAGCCTCTCCAAACTTCACAATCGATTTGCACAAATGCACTGATGCCTTATCTCCCGCGGCATTTCCTGTCCTCGAATGGTATGTTATCTGCAACATCTAGTACAAACTGGAAATGAGACATTCAAAAATGACTAATCCAATCGCCAGCGTCATCATCGATCGTTTCTCCGATATCTTATCACATTTCAAAAGCACCAAATTCATATCGCTTAAAGTCGAATACCCAATCGGTTCAGCTCAGTTCAGCAGTCAAGCTCCGCGGCAGAACAGGTGAATTCGTAAAGTTCTCCCACCGCTCAAAATGGTTACGATATTCAGGCTATCTCTTTCTATACTGGCGATATGCTGCTCGCAAGGTCTAGCCATCGACACAAATTATCTTTTCAATTCCGATCGGTAAGTACCAGCGCACTGTTATATCACAGACAAACGGACGTAGCTCGTTTTCATGAATCGTCGATCACGCATTTAACGTTCAATTTAAATAGTATTACCACAGCGCTGGCATCGGATCACTTTGACGTTTCTATACATTCAATCGAACTTGTATGCAACATTGTTTAAAATTTGGCAAGCAAGCTGATTTCCGCGCATAGCTCGCGAGATGTCGTTAGTGAGTTCCGTGATGATATATTAACGGAGTTACGTCTGTTTGTCTGTGGTTAAATTTCATCCAAATCAGTTAATCAAATCATTGATTATCACATAGCTTTCCGGAGGCGTCAGCTGTCCCAACGCTATCGAACGGGAATCTGGGATTCACCGTATTCAGCGATAGCGTCTTCCTGACCGGAGTGTACAATCGAGGCGAGTTTACTGGCCTTGGACCGGAAACGCATCGTGCACGCATTCCCAATTATGCTAATTTCCAACTAACACGCTGCAGCCGTCCGGAAACTAATCCACCGGATTGTAGCTACCAACTGGACATCAAGACCGGCCGGTTCCGAACAGTCTACGAAGATACCGATCAGCAATACCGCCTCATTCACAGTGTCTATCCGCATCGGTACTTCAATCATGCCATAGTAAATCACTTCCGCATCCAACGCCTCAACGGTCGAGGTGTGATCCAAGCAACGATACTGCGAATCATGGGAGTGCCATCTCCAGATATCAGATTTGAGCCGGCTCAGCGCGTGCTTATTCGTGGCCAGACGTTCTTGTATCAATGTGGATGGACTCATGAGGTCGAAGATCCGGAGCTTCAAGTTACGAGAACCGAAGTGTGCTTCTATTATCAAGATTATCCAACTATGTTTGAACTACCAACGGACAGAACAAGTGAAGAGTTCAGTTACTTCACGGTTTATGCCAATAGTAGGGCAGAGGCCGAGGGAGAACTGAACTTCATAACGATGAGTAGCGTACAAAACATTGAGCAAGCTCAGACTAACTTCATGAACGGAATGTGGGATAAATACGGGATTACCGTTGACGGAAATGACGAACTGGACCGAGCCATCAAGGTCAGTGCCTTCCAACTGTTCAGCAATGTTCCGAACATGTTCACACCTATTCGGGTGAAAACCTTCGGGATATCTCCATCCGGAATTGGACGAAACGATTTCCTGGGACACGTAATGTGGGATTTTGACATGTGGATGTTCCCGATCATTCAACTTTTAGATCCACTTGTTGCCCGAGAAATGTTGGACTACAGAACCAAAACGATTCGTAGGGCATTGGCCGGAAACGCTGCCATGAATCAATACGAAGGCTGGCAGTATCCTTGGGCCTCGGCAGCCACTGGCCGCGAAGTTACGACATCTCCGGAGGCAGCCGAGCTAATGCATCACATCACAGCAGATGTAACATTCGTTATTCGACAGTACCTGTACGCAACTGATGATTATTCGTGGCTACATGACGTGGAAAACTGTGAACTGTTGTATGAAAGTGCTCGCTTTTGGAAGAACCGAACGGTGTACAACCCCTCCACAGATAAGTTCGACATTCCATCGGTGACGGGTCCCGATCAAATGAATCCGAACGTAACCAACAATGTGTTCACCAACGTTGCTGCAGCTCACAACCTATTTTTAGGCGAATTTGGTGGATGCATGTGTAGCGATCTTTGGCGGAGAGACTTAAACTTGAAGGATTTAGTTCGAGTGGCGAAGAGTTTGCACTTGCTATACGACGAACTTGATGACTTCAATCCCCAGTTTGAAGGATTCATCAAGGGACAACAAACCGGTCAAGCTGATGCCGTGCTGCTTGGATATCCCTTGGACATACCCATGACTGAGTAAGTAGCCTTAAATATCTGATAGGTTAAGTGTACCTAACTCACCGTAAAACCATCATCTTAACCAGTTCAACGAAGCGACGTAACCTGGAGATATATGGCTCTACCACCGTAGAAAACACTCCGCCAATGACCTGGTCGATGCATACCATCGGGTGGCTCGAGCTGAACGACCTGACCCGAGCAGCGGAATATCTTCACCGTAGTTATCAACCGTACTTGCGAGCACCGTTCTACGTGTGGAACCAAAGTCCTACGGGCTCCCCTGGGGCTTCAAATTATGTCTCCGGAGCAGCTAGTTTTCTGCATACCATAATCAACGGCTACGGTGGCATCCGGTTGCGCAATGAAGAACTCGTATTGGATAGGCCTCGTCTACCACCGGGCACTACCCGGCTTTATATTCCGCAAATAAACTTCAACAGATACAGCTTTGCGCTGGAGGTACGCCAGGATGGAAGATTTTCAATTTTGCAGCATGCAATGCCAACGGCGCCACAGCTTAGGATCATAGCCGATGGTCAGGAGTACAAACCTTGTGGTCCAGGACAGTCATGCGTCGGTATGTTTGAGATTATTCACTGTTTTAGAGGCAATTGAATCGTGGTTTTCAATTTCAGTTCACGGATCGCACAACGCCAGCTTGAAATTGGTTCGAAACTTTCAGCCGAGGTGCACGTTGAAACCGACTACGCTGAACATGAAGCTGGCAGATCAGAACGGCGGCGGCGTTGTCGCAAGGATCAGTCCGATGATCTTCGTAACGGTCTTAGTGGCGGCCATGCTTAATAAACTGTTTTAATTAACAGGGGTTCTCAGAGATTGTGTGTATGTGTGTTTTTTTACTGCCCATAATCGCAAGTCAGTTCGATCTGTAAAAAACTGGAAATGAGAAAACGGCATTCAAAGATTTTACAAGTTTTCTAATTTTACGCTTATTTTAGAGGGATTATTTTAAAAATAAACGTGCAAGGCGGTAGAATGCATCTGTGTTTACCAAAAAATATAGGAAAAAATATCGTGAAATTTTTATTTTATGACAACAATCTGAGTGGGACTGACTTGCGACTACATGTAAAGTCAATGAGGAAAATAACCGCTAGTCAGTCACAATGCCATGACGATGCTGCATTAGTTTAACACAGTATTGAACAGTACAAAGATACCATGCCCCCATAGAATGTTATTGGCCGGAACATATTCCGGCGAGTATGGGTCTTCAGATCAGAACTTTTCAAAAACGTGCCATACCCACCATGCAATAAATCGATTCACATGATTTAATTTATTTATTTAATTTGTTTTTCTTCATCGGACTTAACGTGTCTAAATGAAGCCTGATGGACAGCTACTCACCTTCTCAGGAGTCTGCGTTGAAAACGGTGACGAAAGGTTTCCGCTGCACATTTAAAGTCGAAAAACTCGTAAAACTCGTTGAAACGCCCAGACATGAACCGTATTGGGTCATGCAAGCTGTAGTTCACAGCACGAGGTCCAATTGTACGAAACTTCTAGAAGAAGCTTCTGGAAGAAACTTGTAGAAGAAGCTAAGAAGTTTATGGATGAAACTTCTAGATGAAGCTTCTGGAAGAAACTTGTAGATAAAGCTTCTGGAAGAAACTTCTAGAAGAAGCTTCTGGAAGAAACTTCTAGAAGAAGTTTCTGGAAAAAAAACTTCTAGTAGTAGCTTTTGGAAGAAAACTTCTGGGAGAAACTTTTAGTAGATATATCTTAAAGAAACTTGTAAAAGAAGTTTATGGATGAAACTTCTAGAAGAAGTTTCTGGATGAAACTTCTAGAAGAAAGTTCTGGAAGAAGCTTCTGATAAAAAAAAACTTATACAAGAAACTTCTGGAAGAAGCTTCTAGAAGAAACATCTAGAACAAACTTCTGCAAGAAACTTCTAGAAGAAGCTTCTGAAAGAAACTTAAAGAAGAAGCGTCTGGAAGAAACTTCTACAAGAAGCTTCTGGAAAAAAAAAACTTCTGGAAGAAACTTCTGGAAAAGACTTCTGGAAGAAGCTTCTGGAAGAAACTTCTAGGAGTAGCTTTTGTACGAAACTTCTAGAAGAAGCTTCTGGAAGAAACTTGTAGAAGAAGCTAAGAAGCTTCTAGAAGAAATTTCTGGATGAAACTACTAGAAGAAGCTTATGGAAGAAACTTATAGAAGAAGCTTCTGGAAGAAACTTCTAGAAGAAGGTTCTGGAAGCAGCTTTAGGAAAAAACTTCTGGAAAAGCTTCTGGAAGAAACTTCTGAAAGTAACTTCTAGAAGAAGCTTCTGGAGGCAGCTTCTGGAAAAAACTTCTGGAAGAAGCTTCAGGAAGAAGCTTCAGGAAGAAGCTTCAGGAAGAAACTTCTGGAAGATGCTTTGGAAGAAACTTCTGAAAGAAACTTCTAGAAGAAGCTTCTGGAGGCAGCTTCTGGAAAAAACTTCTGGAAGAAGCTTCAGGAAGAAGCTTCAGGAAGAAACTTCTGGAAGATGCTTTGGAAGAAACTTCTAGAAGATGCTTTGGAAGAAACTTCTGAAAAAAAAACTTCTGGAAGAAACTTCTGGAAAAGGATTCTGGAAGAAGCTTCTGGAAGAAACTTCTAGGAGTAGCTTTTGTACGAAACTTCTAGAAGAAGCTTCTGCAAGAAACTTGTAGAAGAAGCTAAGAAGCTTCTAGAAGAAATTTCTGGATGAAACTACTAGAAGAAGCTTATGGAAGAAACTTATAGAAGAAGCTTCTGGAAGAAACTTCTAGAAGAAGGTTCTGGAAGCAGCTTTAGGAAAAAACTTCTGGAAAAGCTTCTGGAAGAAACTTCTGAAAGAAACTTCTAGAAGAAGCTTCTGGAGGCAGCTTCTGGAAAAAACTTCTGGAAGAAGCTTCAGGAAGAAACTTCTGGAAGATGCTTTGGAAGAAACTTCTAGAAGATGCTTTGGAAGAAACTTCTGAAAAAAAAAAAAACTTCTGGAAAAGGCTTCTGGAAGAAACTTCTGGAAGAAACTTCAGGAAGAAACTTCTAAGAGAAGCTTTTGTACGAAACATCTAGAAGAAACTTCTTGAAGAAACTTGTAGAAGAAGCTAAGAAGCTTCTAGAAGAAGTTTCTGGATGAAACTTATAGAAGAAGCTTCTGGAAGAAACTTCTAGAAGAAGCTTCTGGAAGAAACTTCTGGCATAAGCTTCTGGAAGAAACTTCTGAAAGGAACTTCTGGAAGAAGTTTCTGGAAAAAAAAACTTCTGGAAGAAACTTATAGAAGAAACTTCTGGGAAAAAACTTCTGGAAGAAGCTTCTGAAAAAGACTTCTGGAAGAAACTTATAGAAGAAGCTTTTGTACGAAACTTCTGGAAGAAATGTACAAGAAGTTAAGAAGCTTCTAGAAGAAGTTTCTGGATGAAACTTCTAGAAGAAATTTCTAGAAGAAGTTTCTGGAAGAAACTTGTAGATGAAGATTCTGGAAGAATTTTCTAGGAGAAGCTTCTGGAAAAAACTTCTACTGTGTTACCTGACTTATGCATAGCTTTTGCAATGCAAAATTAGACGAACTATACGCTGTATTCGGGGTACTCGTATACAACGTATATTCTTTATAAGTCAGGTAACACAGTAGGAGATGCTTCTGCAAGAAACTTCTAGAAAAAAGATTCTGGAAGAAACTTGTAGAAGAAGCTTTGTAATAAACCCTGGGAGATTATTCTATAAGAAGATTATTGAAAAAGCTTTCAGCAGATGCTTCCTGAATAAGCTATTCTATAGAAGCTTCTTCTTTCAAGCTGGGGCTGCGTTAATTTTCGATAAATTTAATGATAATTTTCCAAAAACAGTAATTCAAAAAGTTAAAAGTTATCAAACATTTTAAGAATCCGTAAAAAATTTCCGGTACTTTTTAAAAAATCCCTAAAACTTTGGAACACCCGTAGAATTTGATAAATCCGTAGAACTGACTACACTGGTCCAAGGCAGAATGAAAAAAAAACAAAAACGGAGGGCTGAGTGAGATAGCGTTACGTGATTTTAGGGGGGAGCATTGTCAAGCGTTATTTATTGTGACAAAGAGGGAGGAGGGGTCCAAAATCCGGACTTTTTGCGTTACGTAATTTGTGTATCGCGCCTAATTTGTACATTTGACATTTGGTCATTGGCTGAATTTGCGTAAGTGTTAGTGTTTTGGTATCTGCACTTGAAGTCCGTGTTTAGGCATTCGCTACTATGCACACCCGGTTGTCATTAGAATGGTATGTTAACCGTTATGTGATAGTCCAAAAGAACACCTTTAGGAGCTCGACAAGGGTACCTTTTGGCACCATTGCATAAAGAAACTTATCCTCTTTCTGAACATTGCCAACAATGTCCATCCAGAATCGTCTGGTTTCTTTTTTTAATTTATTATAGAGATTTTTAGCCGAAGGCTAGTTTATCTCTTAAAATCGTCTGGTTTCCGGAAATCCGGATTGCCTGTATAATGTTCCAGAACTAAGCGAAAACGGCAAGAAAAGTTTTCGCTAGAATTTCGAAGGAATCGATATCAAAGTATCAGAATCTCCTTAAAAAAAACAATTTCAGCTTACTTAAGCAACAGTTTAAGGTTTATCCCCGGAACGGCCAGGCAGGCTCCCGTAGAGCCTCTAGTGGCCATAGAAATGTTTGGGAAGAAACCCCTGCAATATGGGTATCAAAATTCATGAATTTACAGCAGGATATTGTTTATCATAATTTTGTGATCATCCGATTGATTGACCATATTGTAGGGGTATCGTAATTCATGTTTATCACAACTATGTACGTGCTTTAAACGTCGCTAATCTCTATGGGATGCTTCCCCTGATATTCAGATGACGAAAGAATGGCATGGGGCATAGTCTCCTATTGTAAATTCATGAATTTTCATACCCATATTGTAGGGGTTTCTTCCCAAACACTTCTATGGCCACTAGAAGCCCTACTGCAACATGCCTCGGAATCGGAGCTGAAATTGTTTCTTGATGAATTTTTAGTTCTGGAACATTATACAGGAAATCCGGATTTCGGGGAACCAGACGATTCCGGATGGATATTGTTGGCAATTTTCAGAAAGAGGATAAGTTTCTGAATCCGATGGAGCTAAAAGATTCAAAATCGGTCAAAATTGGCCGCAGTAGCAAGCATTTCAATTTTGTGGGTACCCGGGTACCCTTGTCGAGCTCCCCTTCGAAGTTCCTTGCTGCAATATGAAATCTTTCTTCAGGAAAAGTTGTCTTTCCATGAGTTCTGAGATGTCACTGAATTATGGTTTCCTGTCGTGAAAATAACTGTATAATTTCTAAACTTGAAATCTGAAAAGGTACCCGGGTATTCTGTCGATCACATAACGGTTAATGATGCAAATCCATCCGTAAATGAACAAGTTATAAGCGTTTAAAACCTTACATAAATTCGTGACGCTGCTTCGATGAAATGGTACCCCATACCTTCGATAAAGACGTAGTCCTATGCCAAAAAAAAGCTCAGAAGCTTGAAGAACTTCTCAGCTGTGTTGTTAGTTTTTCACGGAGTACAATCTGTAGATTGGAAAATTTGTTTCCATTGCATTGATGATAAATGTCAAGTCAGATGACTTTTTTTCAAAGAACCGTAATTCTTAAAAAAAATCCTGGGTATCAGAAAAATCCGTTGAATCTGAAGTTTGATCCGTAAATCCGTAGTTTATTTAAAAATTCGTAGAACTACGTTGAGCTCAAAACGAGTACATACACCACACCGTAAGGGGTTCGGAAAACTAAGGTCGTGGAAGTTTTGAAAGACTTTAGTGATTTCAGGGTTTTGAAGAGTTTTAAAATACT